CACGCCTATACAGGTATATGTGAGTCCCACACTCCGACGTTGTCGCACGTATGTTGTACATTTCTACATCTGATGACGACGTTCCTCCTTCGAATTCCGGTTATGTATATATTATTTATTTAAAAATATTGTTCTTTAAAGTATAATATCATACTATTATAGTTATTACGATCGGTGGCCTTTCTTTGATGGATGAACGAACTCGATTTTATACTCTGCAATATCGAATATACAATAGTGTGTGTACGCGTTGGCATATTATAACCTATACATGCATAATATATTATATATAGTTTAAGAACAATCCCTATTTAATGTGGGACTTAACAAATTTAAAAATATACATATTATAGTGAATGAAATTCACTTAAAATTGTGTTTATTTAACTCTATGAATTGTATAAACGAACGAATTATAACAGCTACAACTGTGTATCTCGCCTATAGGATAGATGATCATAGATACCACTATTATGTATATTACAAGCTGCCTCGCCCAAGGTTGTTCAGGCCAAAGATTTGTATTTGTATTTTTTAATAAATATATATTTTGTACAATATAATTTTACCTCATCTACCTGAGTAACTATAATGGCAACCATTATTTTATAAACAAATATTTCCATCGTAAATCTCAAAAACCTTGTTTTAGCACCTCTCCGGGTTAGACCCTACAGGGTCCAATTATGAATCTAAACCATCCAGGAAACCACTCAAACACACACAAACAAAATTACCAAAATCGGTCATGAATAAATATAAAATTATAATATACATAAAGATATAGTATATATACCTATATATTCGAGATGGGTCATATAATATGTTATATAATTATAAATATACAGTATTGTTTTGCAAGATTGGGCATTAACTACCTAGTTGAAAAGTTAAAATTAATATTTTTAAATTTTTTAACTTAACTCTAGTAAGCTATAATTTTCTAATCAACTTATGAACTTAACTAGTTTATTTGATAATAGAAATAACTTAGCTTTTATCAGTTAATTTTATAATATTATCCATCGTGTTAAAAATGTTTTACTTCTTACTTATCGATCTTGTGTTGTCTTAACTTAACTTGAGATAATTATTTTCAATAACTTGTCCAATTTTGACGTTATGAATGTTTATAGTCTTGTAGAATATTACATTATATCTATATATTATGATCAGAGCCAATATTAATGTGGAGCTACGCCTGGGGAAATTTGTTTTGGGCAAGGCCCAACAATTTCATACAAATGCCCGATAGCCCTCTGCCTATAAGGCTGAATCTGTATAATATGATTGTGGCGAATGAGTATGACTATATTGTAGTAGTACTACGGTTGACTTTATGATTAATCATTTGAAGCTTTATCTTATTTTCACCACACACGAATCGCGCATTGGTCATATTTATTTTCCTCCATCATTATTGATCAATATATATATTATATATTTATAGCTGTCAACAACAACCGCATGTCCACATTGTCAGTTCGTCTCTTCGGCCCAGCACATTATGTATTATGTTGTTGTTCACTCACCTATCGATGAAAGCGAATAAGAACGGCCCACCGGAGATTACGCCCAAGTCCTCGTACGAGGTGCAGTTGTACACTGAAGAAGCAGATGGTTTTTCTTCACAATTCATATAAAGCGATGTGAATTAAACCGTAATATGTTTATGAAATTGACCATGTTTAATGTTTATGCGCGTACGTATAAGTACATGTATAGGTATAATATGGTTCTTTAAACGATTGGTCGGATTTTATTATTCGAGATGACTATCTATCTATACATGGTCTTTTATGAATATTATACTATAGTTGGTCGAAATAGTTACATATTATAATTTATTACTGTTTTAAAATACAAATACCTACCACGCGATAAATTATCATAAGTTTCGAATTTTTATAAAATATCTGTACCCAAAGTAAACGTATTATAACAATAATAATATACGTCGATTCTTTTCGAGTAAGTACAACGATACAAATTTCGCGTGCAAACTACATAATACAAATGTAGAAGGTCACTTATCGGCTAACGCCGATCCTTTTTTCGCTACTTATATAATCAGCTTTCTAAAGTATATTCTCCAACATGAACGCCGTCGTTTATTGTTTCAGGTGAGCTGTCCTAGCATCTGTAACATATATTACCCCCTCTAACCAATTTAATTTGTTTGTACCTGATTTGTATCCGTAGCCCATCTGTACCCTCATGAAAAAAATGTGTACCCCTTTCCCTTAGACTTAAAATAAAATTTCTTGATGACACACCTCTTTGTTTTGCAGTAGAAGCTTTTTGAAGATTGACTCTCTCGTTGATTGTATATAATAGCTCTTCGGAATTATGTCGATAAGTTTGTCAAATCGAACCAATCCTTTGGATCGTCGCTTATCATCGACAAATGTAAATTCGCATGTCCTAAATACTATATAGAATAAAGGTAATATAATCCTATTATTTTTACCTACGCTCTATCCACTATTCGGAAATTCCCTCATAATTTATATCGATATAAATAAAATGTGTTGTATATATTATTTTGGCTTCGTGATCGCACAACAGTTTTCACGATATTCTCTGCAGCAGCCGCGGTCGATAAAATCTGGACTACGCATGAGATTATTATCATTTCAAACAGCAGAGCACTGGCGTTTTTATAATACTACTACATGGTAAGTAATACAAAGAGATGGATTAATTTTTTTTTTTAACGTATACGTATCGCACAGGTGGCGGTTTTATTTTTTAGACTTTTCGGCGATTATTACGTTGGGGCGTACCATGACATATATATCAGGATCCGATATGTCACCACCGATGTATATGTGACCACATACCCAATAATAATAATATATACAAACCGCACATGCAATATAATAATACCCGGCGTAATATATTATTATTATATCGATATAATAATAATAATAACCATCGGTTAGGATGTATACGCATCATATATTATTATACACACTCGGGTTTTAGCGCTGCTATATCGGACGTCTTATTTACGACGCGTTTTTGCGATCCGAACGGCCTTCGGATCGAAACGATTGGCGGCCGACTATATTATATATCGCAACGTTATATATATGTAAACGCATCGTATATTATACATTATAATAATATATTATTATATAATATTATTATATTGATCGCCTATTGTGGCCGGCCATATAGTACGTGCCCGTTTATTAAATCTCTTTTCCTCCGTCTCTAACTCTCTCTCTCTCTCTCTTCCCGTCTCTCTCTCAACGTGTCCGTGTCTCCCCATCCATCTCCGGTCCGTATCTTTTCTCTCTGCATGTACACGCATAATACCTACACGCATGTATCACGCGCGCGCGCGCGGCCCGTCTCGCGGTGTCGCATTCGATTTCGTTTGATTTCTTCCGTTGTTTTTACGACGTGCGGCGGTGACGTGACGTCACACTCGCGCATAAGCCGCGTGTATATATATATAATATAATAATATTTTAATATTATGGGCCGTGTTGCCAATGCGTCGAGACGAATTTCCATAACGAACACGGGCGAGTGCGCGCGCGCGCGCGCGTGTGTGTGCGTAGACAATGTGCGCGCGGGCTCTCTTTGAACTCAAACCCATTAGAAATGCTAAACCCGGCACTGCATGTATGCGTATACCGTACAGGTCGTGCGCTGTTGTATATCTATGCCGATGTGTAGTATGTATATATTATAATATGTACGCGGCGGACGAGCCGAGTTGGCGCGGAGGTAATTATTGAATATTTTATATTTTATTTGAAAAAAAAAAAACGATAACACTGTGGTGCGCCGACTAAGCCGACAGAAGAACGACGACTATTATATTATTATTATATATATATATATATATATATATATCTTTAGGCACGGCGGAAGAAAAACTAAGAGATGGAAACGAAATTGTTTTGAAGAAAAAAAAATAGTCACAAAAGGCACGTAATTGAATATCGGTGACACCACACGAACGCGCGTGCGTTAATATTACATATTATTATTATTATTATTATTATATATGCGCGTATACAATATTATAATATTATGTTTTTAGAACGGGACGGTCTTGCGCGTGCGCGCGTACCTTCGCATGTACGCGGCGTGCACACGAGCGCGCGACGAGGGGACCCCACGCGGGTTGACACCCATTTCGCGGCCGACAGCCAATGGCTCGACGCGGCCTTTTGCGCGAGGGGTTCTGCGAGAGGTGCCCCTGCGAAAAAACAAAAACACAAACGAAAAGGACGAAAAAGAATATGGCCGTTTGCCGCAAATAATAATTATCGCGTATACAGAATAATATATAATATTATATAGGTACCGACCGCCGGCCGTACGCGTACAGTGTTATTACCATTATTATTATACCATCGTTGTGCGTGTGTGTGTGTGTGTACTATATACCTCGACGGTGACAATAATATATAATATCACGTTATTATCATAACGCGATGTAAGTAGTACGCTGCAGCAGCAACAGCGGTAGTCGCGGTTTTCTACACTCCGAAGTCGTCTACTGAATTATTGTTTGTTCTTTTAAAAATATTATCATATTATTACATTAAATAATAATAATTATCATATCTGTACCTCATATTATTATAGTGTCGCCGTCGAGTCCGTCGAGTGCACACGCACTACATAATATCGTATGCGCGTTAGCGTTCGCGTCGTCGCGTGAACGCCGACCGACGTTTGAAGATTTTCGTCCGTTTGTCGGAAAACGGTAGCCGCGGACCGCCGACCTCCGCCGCCACCGCCGCCGCCGCCGAGTGCGTTCATCGTGACGACTTCAACGTTACATTATTATTATATACCTACCGCCGCCGCCGCCGCCGACGTACTTGAGTACAACTCTCGTCATGCTCTCACCGGACGCGCTTTTCGCCGACAGGTATCGACGTGTATCGTGCGTGTGATAACAAAATATTGTTTTATAATCATTTTATTCGGCTCCGAATTTGGGCGGAATATCGTCCCCGCAGACGAACATCATGTACTCTGCACACTACAACGGATTCACGTTTCAAGGTAAGACTGCGCACGTTATCATAATATTATTATAAAACATACTAGTGTGATATCATCGATATGGATGATGATGACCAGGGCTCGTAACTTCATGCACTAAAAAATGCATAAATTAGCATGCATTCATGCACTAAAAATTGTCAAAATATGCATTAAAATATGCACTTAAAAGTTCAAAAATATGCATTTATATGCATTAACATTTTTAAATTATACACTCAAAATATGCATTATGTAAAAAAAACATGACCAAATTTTAAAATAATAAGAATAAATCCATACATTTTAAAAGTATTTTATTCCTTTTAATTTTTATACAGTCAACTCGCGATATAACGAATATCGATATAACGAAAATCTTGATATAACGAATAAAACTACCGGTCCCTTGAAAATTTCGCGGTATAATATAATTTCGATGTAACGAATTTTTTTCTCGGTCCCTTGAAGTTCGTTATATCGCGAGTTGACTGTATATTTAACAGTCAAAATTAATAAAATAAAAAATTAAATTAATACTTGTGAAGTTCAAAATTCAAATAGCTTTGTCATCTTTATAAATTTTAATTAGGTAGTCAAATTTGTCTAATTTGTTTACACTCTTATTCAGTACCAACAATGAAAAAATTTGGAATGAAATATTAGGTTTTTCATTTAGAGATAATTTAGTAATATATATTTTATAAGTGTTTTTTTTTATGTTTTCCAACAAGAGGGCGCAAATAGACAATTAGTAGACAAAATATGGCATAAAACCATGGTTTCGTAATTCAAGTAATACGGCTTATTGAAGTGGTTTACAGTAAAAATACCTATTATAAAAATTGTAAAGTAGAACTTTTTTTACAATCGTAAGAAGCCTGATTTTCTATATTTTTATTAATTACCTAAATAATTACTCAATAAAAATTTTTAAAAACCGTTATAATTTACCATGCGATATTGGACGATTGGAACAAAATATCAAAAATCGGAAGAAACTTTTGAAATATTTGTCTAAAAAATATTTTTATGAAATAATATGCACTAACGACTGTAAAAAATCAACTATATGCCAAATATGACTTTACACCCAAAACATGCAAAAACATGCACTATCAAACTTCATATTATTATTACTATTGTTATGAAACGGATTTGTATCTCAGTTAGCATGTTTTCCTGCGTGGCAAAAAAAACATGCAGATGCATGAACATACGAGCCCTGATGATGACTATCATCGTTCGGTCTTACAAAATATATATTATGTAGTTATAATATATTATTTGGGTCCTTGACTATATTTATATTATGATAATGTCCCCGACAGCTGGCTAAAATGTGCAATATAATATTATAATAATATTGTATCCCGCGGTTTTGTACGATTACTGGATTACAGCAGCGTTTTTCAACCTTTTTGTATCCCGCGGTGGGTTGTAGGCATATAAATAATTATTATACTGTGTACCTACCACCTGCTATAAGTTTTGGATATTTGCACGTGCCACTTTAAAAAGAAATAAATCACTTTAAAACTCATTAATGAAAAAAACATATAAATGTTTTTATATATTAGAAACTAATGATTATTCTAAAACGCGATAACTATATATTATTATTTATTATAAATTTACCTATTATGATAATTGATAAGCATTCATTGCCTCATTGCACAAAAAGCAAAGTAGAACATTAAATGATTTAAATTTTTTAAATGGCGAATAGTGAATAGTGATTATCGTATAGGCATGATTATTAATTTAATATTTTAATATTAATAATAATATATTTTTTTTAAGGTACATAATATTTTTTTTGTGTACTACTTATGAGGTTTTCGCGTACCATTAATGACACACATAGCTACTATGCTTATTGTAAGAATCACTTGGACTAAATGATTAGATTCGAGTTTAAATTTGTCTTATATTTATTTATTTATTAACTATTTGTATTATCATACATATAATCATAATTATTATTTTCAATTATGACCATTGACCATTCACGTCATTTGCAGCTTTGTAATATTATTATAAATATGTATGAAAATAATGACTTTTAAAATATTATGAAAACAGTATTTCATTACAATTTTTCGATAAATTATTTAAGAATAAACATAAATTAATAATAATACTGTACCAATTAGTTGTATAATTAGTAATATATAATATATGTGGCAATATCATGGTTACTGTAAAATTCATATAATCCTAAATATGTATAATAATCTGGAAGTTTTATATTTCCTATTTACATTTAAATTATATAGATTACCTAAGGATTATTGCTTGTATAGCGTGTTTCGCATACTTTTTTTTTTATTAAAGACTGAAAAGACAATTTATTTTGATACAGAAAATACATTTTTTTTTTCAATAAAATATACCCAAATATTCTGAATTTCGTGAAATGAAGAGGTCCGTTCACAAACGAGACAAATCTCATTTTACTAATTGTTCAGGATAAGCAAAACAAAATTCGTTATCTCATTTACCGTTATTGGCGGGAAATAATTATTTTGTGATGTCTTTGGAAACAATAAAGCGATTTTTCTGATTATTTTACGAATATTCAATTTGGTTTTGTAGGTGAACTCAAATGTTAAAAACAGTTTCGTTATTTCTGGACAATGACTGTATATCTATTTATCATTTTGTACATAATATAAATGTTGACATTCTAGAGAACAACAAGGGTGGTCTACGTGAAGTTGCCCCACCCATATGTAATTTTTTTTCCCATTAATAATTGCCATTTGTCCAATTCTTAAGTTTTGAAAACGATTTAAGTTTTAATACTGATCCCCACAATATTATATCGGTTTACCACAAGAGTATTTTTTGGATATTATACAATTTAAATATCATTAATATAATAAGAGCCTAGTGTTCGTGAACTAGGTTAACGGTTATCGGATAATATTATAGATTTAGATTATAGGTAGGTACTAGGTAGTATACTTCTATTATTATTACTTATTTTTTCTTTTATTGATCGTGAAGCCTGTCAACTATGGCCATTAGCTGTTTGTTTTTGTTTGTAGGGGAGGAAATTGTAGGTTAGAAAATGAGTGTGTTTGTTTTGGTAGAATTTTTGATTTGAGCACCCGTAGATATCTGTCATGCCCAGGTGGGGGATGGCGGCACTTGTTCTCCAGACACCGTGACTTGCCCGAAGAAAAATGCCGCCCATGGCCGAGGTATCGTACCGGCGTCGGTGTGCGTTGCAACCGATTCCTTAGAACACTCGGCCACTCCGTCCCACTCTAATATTATTTATAACGATTCAAACTCCAACAATATAATATATTAAATCCTATTACAACTTTAATCTAGGCCAAGGGCGTGTGAACCAGCTCGGTGGTACATTCATCAACGGCCGACCGTTGCCTAATGTGGTCCGGTTGAAAATCGTCGAAATGGCCGCGGCTGGCGTGCGGCCCAGCAACATATCGAGACAGCTCAAAGTGTCACACGGATGCGTGTCCAAGATACTCAACAGATACCAAGAGACGGGCAGCATTCGGCCGGGCATAGTGAACAGCGATCACGTCCAGGTAATCATAATATAGTGGAAACTACGTCACATATCTTACGTCCACATCCATAGAACTAGGAGAGTTTTTTAAGCTCTATAAAACTAATTATTACTCCATTACACTAATATAATAAATATTTGTTTATTCTTTAGAATATAAATAGGATGTCAAATCTATATAATATAGCATTAATTCATGTGGCTTAGCCTTCCCCCAAATGTCTGCCAAGTCCCCCAATTCAAAAGTTAGTACTTAGTAAGTACTAGGAATGTCTATAATATTTTGAAAATATTATAGGGGGGCTTTAGTAGCCCCCAAAATTGTGATCTTTGCTCCTATGAGTACTATAATAATTGCGGATGTCTCCAAGTGTTTTCAGGCATCCCGCATTAGCGTCATAATTATTATTATTATTATTATTATTATTATTATTATTTCTTTATCGACGAAAAAACTCCATTTACAAGACATTATACACATATAAATAGTGTAGTAATTAACAGATACAATAAAAATTATAACATGTACGAATAATAATAAAATTTACATTCAATTAAAATAACGAAATACATAATATTATGTAGTACATAATTTTACAGCCATAATTAACTATTAACTAAAATAAAATCTATAGTATTTAATATGGCCATCATTATATATTTGTAGGTGATAATTTTAAGTACCTATGTTCTAAAAACATTAATTAAGACATTTTCTTGATTGCTGGTAGATTTGGTACTAGTTCGAAAATGTTATCTTTCCAATAAATAAAGGGCTATCAATATCTAGAGTTATTTAAAATTTTCAAACAAAATGAATAATGAAAGCTCTTTCACCTTATATTTAACAATTTTATATTGAAAAAATAAAATTAATCTGGATTTCGTGGACGTTTGCCAATAAATTTAAATGCTACAAACCGAAGAAAATGATTCTATTGTATTATTGATAATACCTTTTAATACTAACCAACAATGAATAACATGACGATAGAACCTTTTCATACTTACATAAACTTATCAGAATAAAAAAGTTCTATCGAACTACAACTATAATCACGATTCAGTAATTTTTCATGACATAGAACATTTTCATTTTCTGTATCTCACTAAGTATTGTATGTGGAAACACCGTTTTTTAATAAAAAGATGCACAATTGAAAATTAAACAAATATAATATGCAAAAAACCGATTTTTGAAAAAAGTGGACATAGAACCTTTTCATTCTCACCCCGCGAGACTGAACGGCTTCAAGATTCGGAGTTACAAATAAGTTCTTTGAATACCATAAAGGGATCCAAATTCTAATTGGAATCTGACAAATGCAAAACATATATTTTTTAAGGCATTTAAATTATTAAAATGTGTATGTGTAATGACACCAAGATTAAGAGAAGTTTTATTAGCTATTTTATCAATATGTCTATTATCTAAATATAGTTTAGAATCAAACGTAGTTGAGTATACTACTATACTACTATAATTCCTAAGTTGGTAAATATAAAATGGTTATTATAGACATCTGAAGTTCAAATTTGGAAGAAATTTGGTAATTAAACGAAGAATAACAATTTTAGTTATTTTGTTATAATTTAAAAATATTATTCCTGGGTACCTACTTTAAATTCTTAAAATATATTATTATATTTTATAGTTTTATACACAAAATTATATTTTTTCGGCAAAAATTAATTTAACCTATTGTAGTACTAATGCCTAATAGTGAAATAAATTACTTATGATAACTGATAAGTAACATTTGGTTTTTACCAAATGTCAAAACCTGAATTCAGTATTGACTAAAATTACGCAATATACCTACATGTGTGGAGCCTCCTCCCTACTCAAAGCTCCGTGTTTGAAAATGTTGGGCCTCGGAACAACATATTTTGCACTCTCACCACAAAAAAAAGTTATTTCTTAAAATGTAAAGACTTATAATAAACCTATAGGTACTATTTTGTGGAATAAATGCGTTTTAGTTCCCAAACGATTTTTGAATATTTTTTTCGGATACCTATTATAACCTTTTCAAGTTTTAAAGTCCGCAAGTTTGGGTATTCCTACCAGTCGTGGGGGGAGGGGTGTTTGTTTTAATAAATTACTTTATTGACAATAAAATAAAAACTAGTACAATAGGTAGGTAACTTCTGATTGAAGATGTCACTGGTATAGTTAGAAATATTATAATACCGATAAATACATAGGGTAATTTTGAAGTCAAGTCTTCCTTGACAATATTATCAGCTATCATGAATACGCCAATATTTTTTAAATGGTTGGTTTGAAATTTGGAAGATAAATAGCTCATGATTATAATAAGTTGACGAGTGAAGTTAGAACTGATATCTTCTTTATATTTGGTAATAAAGTATTTAAGTCATATGCATAGAACAATGGTCATTATGATGACTGCTAGCTAGGTACTTACCTACTTACCAAGTAATACAAGCTAAATATTGAAAAAAATAAGAAATCATTAGACAACAACTACAGACGTAAGACATTTGAATCGCTACGACATTGGCACATTGCTAAAGTAGATAATAAGTTAATGGATATATTTTTCCATTAGATACATAATAGAAAAGAAAATAATGAATTTAAAATATATTATGCACAGGAGAAATTTCAACTTGGGCTGAATATATTAAAGGCAAGCAGACCATTGCAATATAGCATTTTAAAATTGTATGTCCTAGATTTTTTTGGGGGGGTTAGCCCCCCCTCCCCAATTTGCGCCTATGGCTGAAGTATACCAAATACAAACTGAAAGACGATTACTCGTTAAAATATTATAATATAATATATTATTTTACTTATACGCGTATATATGGGTGGGTACCTATAATATATATAGGTATCAATAATAATGGATTTGAAAACGAAATCTTAACGCCAACCGATCAGAACATATCGTGTACGTACTCGCTGGCCAGAATAATAACAACTATCGGCATCGCCGTCGTCTGGGAAATATTTGTATTTTTCGACAACAGCCTATGATGATTTTCTAGTTTTGCGGTCATAACATTTTGCATTCCCGAGTAGCAAGTACAGTTTTCCACACCATTATGCAGCGAGAGTACGATGAAGAGATCCTCCGGGACTATTTTAACGTTTCCGTAATGGACGTTGTGGCAGCTCTAATGACAAAAATTGAACAACTATACTCTACAGAAACCGAAACCGAAGTCATTTACGACGGAGAGAAGGAGTTGTTCGATGGAGCTGATTTGAGCGACTACGTCGTGTCGATGGTCAGCGCGGCTGTCATCGGCCAATACCAGGAGATTTCGGAAGTGCAGTCTTGCGGACAGTCCGAACCGCAGCGTGGACAGGCTGCACTTCTGGACCTCAGCGACCATACGAAGACCGGAAACGAAGCGGTGGACTGCACCGGGATGCAGCCGGCCGAGGCCGACTGCAGAAGGTCGGCGAAGAACGGGAAGACCGGATGTCTGGACTGTACAGTGTCTATTGTTCCGGTGGTCGAGCGGCAGGCAGGCGCACATCCGCGTCGTGGACGCGCGTGGCGCAGCTACGTGTCCACGGCGTGGGTAGGCATAAAACAGGCCGGACGCCTGTTTTGCTGCTGCGGCCACCGATGGGAATAACGGCCAGCAGAATCCCGTCCCCGTACCTCGGCCGAGGAATGCCAGACGAGACGGCGGCAAAACGGGGGAGCGGTACGTGAAAGAGCACATTGTGTCCGGGCGGTAAGTCGCCCTCTATACGTTCTTTGCAGGTCGACTCCGCGGAAAGACGAGTGGTGGTCGACGGCGTCGCGAACTCGCGCGCGGTTTTCGACACTCGAGACCATCGACTGGCGGATCCGGCGAGCGCCCGGCAGCGGCGGAAGGCGGTTTTGGAGGCTAGCTGTGATTCGAAGACGATTGTGGCGCGTGCACGAAGACGCGACTCGTAACGGCGACGGTGATGGCGGCAGCGGTGGCGGAGACTGCCGAACACGACGGGCGAGCTATGGAACTATATATTTGAGCTATAGGACGTCAGCATCGCCGGTGGACCCGCGGAAACCCTTCCAGGGTTTCAGGGTCCAGCGGTGCGCGACTCCTCGGCATGCCAGGACGAAAGCCCCGGAGGGTCTTCCGATTCTTTCAGGTTTTCGACTCCTCGGCGACGGAGGACGCAGACGCGGCAATGTCGGGATTTCCAGGAGGAAAACCGTGAGAGTATATATGGATCTCCAAGGTGCGGTCCGCCGATACTCTCAGGTTTTCGTCCAACGGTAATCCCGCCGGCCGAGTCTTCAGCGCCTCTGGCCGATTCCTCAAGCGCAAATATATGGCTGTCTTAGCTCGCTCAGTGTTTATTTGGTCTGCGCCGCCGCTGACGTCGTTGTCGTAATGTCGTACGGTCTCGTTTTCAGTACTTCGTCGTTGTCGTCGTCGTTTCGCACTAGCCGCTCGTCGCCAACCGTCCCGTCGAGGCCGGGCCTTGCCCTTCGTCACGATGGTCGTCACCCGCGAGCAAGCGGGCCGTCGACTCCACTCGTCCGCCCGTGGGACCGACCGGGAGAACTTACAGAGGTGGACCAGTAGCCCCTTACACTTCGCCATCACGTACCACTCCCCCGTGCTTATTGTGTCTCGTCTGGTGTTTTTTTTCCCTTTTTTTTCTATATTTATTATTATTGTGTTGACACTTTGTCTTTTTCGATAAAATTTTTTTTCATTTTTGGTTGTGTACAACTTATAAACACACCACATTTTCAAAAACTGTTAAATTAAAAAAAACTGTTTATATATTATTATAAAATTTGTAATAAAGTTACATTTTTATGTTGATATCAGATATAGTGTTTTTTTTTCGTGTTAAGAAATATACTTTGTTTTATTTATTTCAATAGAAAAGTGTTCCTCACTGACCATGCTCGTGTGAGTTGAGTGTTAACCAACAGTGTTTTCGTTAAATTCGTAAAATTGAATGCATTCCTAGGTTGGTATTTTTAAAAATCTTAAATGCATTAAGTAAAAAGGTAAATATTACAATGCCTCGTGAGCATTATTATAATATTAAATTACTTTAAAAAAAATCAACATTTTGTTGAAAAAATAAATTTCATTGTAAACAGATACCTAAGTTTATCATTAAATAATAAAATGTAGTACATAATATATTGTTTATAAATACAACGTCAGTTATACTGACTTACCTACTTTAAGTGAAAATGAATCAATTTACATTATTTTATTAATACATTTTAAAAATAACAATATTTTATCATTTTTACTGCATTTGTAAATATAAATAAAGCTATTGTTTGATCTTACAGATATAAAATATAAATCATGTAATATTGACATAGTTAAGTTTAAGACCTTTAAGTAAAGGCCATATTATGGTGGGAGGTGATGAATAATATTATTGTACAGTCTTGTGAAATACCCTGTATTTTTACCCTGTATGTAATTTTTATAATATTTTGAGTATTTTGACTTAAATTAAGGTACTTTCCTATTTATAGAAATTTGAAATGTTTTCAATTTATGTAAATACCTAAATATAAAAATGTTTTCTTGGTCAAAATGCTTGGACATGTAATACAAGATTCCTCAAAAGTTGTCAATAAATTGCTTTTAAAATATCAAAAATACAAAAGGTTAATTTTTTTATGTTCATTTGATAAGCAAATTTTAAATCGTAAACTATTTATTCGTTTGTATTAATTTCTAGAAGATGGATATGTATGTTAAATTACCGCTATGCAACGAAAATTGTTTTTGACAATTATTCATTCACGCTGTAATAGTTTTTCTTGCACGAACCACGAGTAGGTATAAGAAAAACAGACACGATATTTTAAACATTTGATGGGTATTAATGTACCTATTATTTTTAGTTATTGACTGTCTGAAAAAAAAACAGTATTGCTACACCCCGCCACGTGTATTGCATATTTTTAAAACGTTTATAATCGTGTTTTAAATCATACTCTAGTGGATCAGTTTTCGTAGATGTTTGAGTCAGATTATATTATATTAGAATAATTATAATTTAGTTTTAAAAGAATATTTAATTTCTTAACAATAAATTGTAATATTGAACAATTATAATAGATACCTATAGTTTAATTCTATTCATTGATACCTAAACCGTGTTTAGCCGGATAAAATGTAATAATAATGTTTGTCTGTCGTTCACTAAAGTTATTCATTAATTTTGTCGGATTTTTTTACGTATTATTTACTGAAATTTATTTCCATAACTTTAACGAACTATATACCCTTATGTTAAGAACATGCACAAGTATGACTATTGACTTATATAATAGTATAAATAGAATAACGTCTTGACGAATTACAAAATAAGTTTTATAAACATTTATTATTATTATGTCATTGTCATATATATTTATGATTTATGAATTAATTTGCTTAAGGTCCCGCTGATTGAGAGGTTATCGATATTATGTTGGCTGGAGACTTTAACGGACGCATTATAAAACATAAATGAGGTTTTGTTTTCGATCGTGAATATTATAATAATATAGGTATACACTATAATATTATATAGTTTCATCGACGCGTGATCTTGCGCGGAGACGCTATAATAAAAACAATAAAAACATACTGCTTGAAGATAAATTAAAAATAAATTATTCTGTTAGCACGCGCCCATTTACATAATTATACAGTGTTTGGATTTAAATTATTGGCGAAACAAAACAATAAAGGCCAATAAATCGGGCCGACCGGCGTTGATATTACATTATATGATGAAGACGTCGTCATCGTGTCTTCCGATTATTGCTCTAAGGGATTTTCGGGACACATATTATGAAACTCGTACCTATACATAATATCGTCCATGTATAAAATGTATATATGGCTCATGAATATTTAGTAACTACACCTTTTTTCGTATTTTTTTATTTTTTATAATATACACGAAATTCCTGATCAATCATTTTAGCTGTTGGCATTTCTGTTTTTTTTCTTATTCTTTAATAGACCCCCCACAACATGCGATGAGCCGCCTGCGCGCTATTAATTAATGGACCCCAAGTGTTTTGGTTCATGTGTGTGTGCGTGTACGACACATTCCTCTCTCGCTCTATCTCTCTCACTCTCTCTCCATCTCTCTCTCTCTCTCTCTCTGTTTTCTCCATCCTCGGCGGCATCTGCACCGGTGTTCGACGCGTCTTACCTGTTCGACACCAGACAACCCGGCTCCATCACACCGTATATACTGCACGCGTGTGTATTATGGCCCATTGTTTTTTATAGTCGGTCGTAAAACATATCCAAAGATAATTTCGGCAACACGTCGTCGTCGTTGTTTCCCGCTCAGCATTTTGAGCCTGGAGTTATGTCTGCAGTTATCAAAAAAAAAAAAAAAACAAAACATTTTTCTAAATATATTTTCTGGAGACTCATTATTATATTGTATACGACTCGAGCGGTATAATAATATGACGTATCGTATCGAGATCTCGACGGATATCCACATATTGATCCTTCATACAGTTCAAACTCTTTCAGCAGCACCATAGCAATAGCTGTTATATAAAACGTTAAATTTTTTTCGTCGGCTGTAGGTATATAGTATAATTTTATGTTTTAAACGTTATATTAATCTTTGAGTATAGGTATAGGTTCTGCACAAATCCACAAACCCTATAAATCATAAGTAACGACATAATCTTATTAATTTTCAGAATTAAAATAATATTGTACATCTTTAATACTTATAAATATATATATTATAACGCATTACCTTCTAATAAATAATAATTGTATGGTTTCCAGAAAATCTATCCGAAACGAATTTCGTATTGTCCGGAGGAAGTCAGAGATACGACAATCAGATCAGATCGTCATAGTAATTACTCAATCGACGGAATACTGTCAGGTAATATAGTTTTTTTTTAATGGATTAATACTTAAAAATTAATGATACTATATAATATTATAAACAGTATCATAGTTTATAATATAATATTATATACTGGAATATTATAATCGACGAAGTATTAACAGATCTAAAATAAATATACAAATAATACTTTAACAACTCAATGTGTAATATTTTAATATATTATGCCAACAAATATAAATAATATGTTATTATAATTAGCACAAGTACCATATTATAATTATATACTTACCTACATATTCCTTAAAAGATATCTAGGTTATAACTTTATATGCAGCAGTAGGCGTGAATGGTTAATAGGTATAGGTATATTATTCTGAATTTGATCAATTGGCCATACATATATTATAATATATCTCTATGTATGTTTATCATAGTTGTTGCCCTTATAATTGGTCTAAGAATCATGCGTCTTAAAAAAAATGTAACCACGCAATTATTATGAACGAAAATCAAGAAAACTATAAAATGACAAGGCGAGTGATGATAAATTTATTTCGTATATGTATTATCACGGGTGTCATTATTAATAAACCTATAACAAAATACAAATGTAATCATAAATTTGTATTAAAATGTATTATAAATAGGCGGTGAAAAAAAGATTTAATATTTTTCACATATTCACTTATAGATACGCGGTTTGAAACTGACAATTATTATTATGAATACAGTTTACACATTTATATATCGGTATTTCAAAATGTTTTTAGAATATTAAAAGAGTAATTTATTATATTTACCTATTCAAATTGTATAAAATAACTTACACATGTAATACGTATGTATAGCTGGATTATAAATTTGCGTAACCACATTAATAATAATCATACACAAGCACACACACACACACACACACACACACTACTGCAGCGCACCCATTAGTAAACACACAAAATGTTAAATATACCTATATAATATCATCAAAAATAAATTACACTAAGCATAAAATTGCTCGTTTTATTCAAATTCAAGATATGTTCTCCACTTCGTAGTATGTATAAGTTTATTATATGTTATATTATATTTGTAACATGATTTAGGTAAATTGTAACGAATTGATTTATACCTAATATGTTAAAATAGAGGAACTAGACTCAATACATTATATACATGCTTGTATAGCTGTACACATGTATAACTGGCACTGCAGTAGTATATAAGCAATATTAATATGTAGGTGCCTATATAATACGTTTGGACATAAATCATAAGACTCACACACAACTCGTTAGAAATTATACGCTCATACGGCTCGGGGGAAGGAAAACATTTTCTCAGAGAAAAATGCAGAGCGTCCGTTGTGTGGTATATAGTTGGGCTATAATACTCGTATATTATAATACGTGACAATATACTATATATTATTGTAAAATAAATAACGCGTCCATTTAACACACATTTGCGCGATATTAAACTCACCGCGTGACTATATATATTATACCTAATATATCAACATCGTAAGGTATCGATTTAACATTTTAAACGTTCGCGTCACACCGCGGGTACCTATAATATATTATAACACATATACGCGGGTTACCAACGTAATGGTATTTACCAGTAGGTATGTATAAGTGATGTATATAATAGAGGCTATATATACACGTAGGTACCTACACTCCGGTGACAATGCCAATATAATATATTATAATGATGGCTATTTTTTCGGTCGCGCTACCGATGTACGATCAACACAGTTTAACTTGTTTTGGCCTTCGGCCTGGAAATCCGAGTAAATACGACATTGGTACCTACATACGATGATCAGCTACCTATAATATAATAATATATTATATCACATCGATGGTCCTGCGACTGCAGGGTGCAGTAGCGTAATTGACCGCTTTGGACTACCTATATATTATATAATATTATATATAGGCACGGCGATGATGATGGTGATAATAATAATAATAAAAATATACAATAATACATATTATTAATATCAAGAACGATTCGAAAAACTTCCATTAATCACGAGCTGCGCACAACCATTATTACATAATAATATATAATGTTGTGGGGGGCACAAAGCGTTGCGTACCACGCTATTGTCATCGGGTATCTCAGCAGCAGCTACTGCAGATCGCCGAAAAAATCTTAATGATGGATTTCACGGCATTATATTATAGTTATTGGCTTCCGGAATACATCATTAAGCCCCCGTGCACATTATTATAAAAATAACATCGGTGGCATTTCTCGAGACTTCGGGCGGCGGCTCGCCGGGGACATGTATATCGTGTTTTCTCAACTACGTCCCGCTGTTTCAAAATTGTACCATAAACATATATCATTCGGCAATGGACTGCTACTGCATTGTTGCCCCTCCGCCATAAACCGCGTTCGAATATTTTATACTCGACATTTTTTTTTTTCATTTTTCTAGGGCTGCAGGGGTCGTTGTTCTTGCGCAATATAAATTGTTTCTTTTGACGTCGCTGGTGCGGCCAGATTTTAACCATTATACGACTTTTATGTGGAATCCATTTCACACCAAATCAGATATAAGTTATTGGCCAAATGGAGAGCCAAATAAATACATAATATATAGGTGTATAATATATTTTATATAAGTACCTAATACATTTTAATGGCTGCAGGGCGATACTATTAAAAGTAAATACTATAATATAACTTGATCGAAAAGTACTATTAAAGTTTTTGAAAATATTTGTTCTTAAATAAATTTGTAATGATCTCAAAACGATGGTTTAGAAAAAAAATATTATATTTGTAGCTACTGTATTTTGTAGTTTATATTTTAACGATTTTTACAATTTTTACAACAGCTACATTTTTAGTTTTATATTCTGATAAAAAATATTTGTCTAATAATATTTCAATGAATAAAAATAAAATTTCAAACGAGTTGTTAATTAATTCTAAGTATTTAAAGATGAGCCATGATACCTTGTACTTTCAGTCCAATATATATGCTACACTTTAAGTAATTATAAGAGACATTACAACGTGATAAATTTTAACGATATTATTATCTGTATATATAAAACAGTAAGCTGATTGACAGCTATCAACGCACAGCTCAAACCATTGGACGGATCTGCAGGCTGAAATTTGGCATACAGATAGCTATTATGATGTAGACGTGCGCTAAGAAAGTATTTTTCGAAATTCGCATTTTAAATAGGTGCTCAAACAGGGACATTGAGATTCAAGATGGAAATTGGAAATTTTATTTTTATTTATTAATAGTTGCCATTGGTTACAGTCTACATTAGAAATTAGCATTTATTTATTGGTTGCCATTGGTTTTTCGGGCAGATCAGGTACAAGCTTGCATCAAATCAAATTATTGATCATTGCCTACCAGGGTGGCTGAGTTGCACTTACCGCAGCAAGTTACACCCAAAAGGAGTTCAACAATCATAATTTTTTTAAGAGTTATGATTTTTTACGAGCAACCAAATTTGTTATATTAATCCACCGTATTATATCAAAGTAAACTTGGTATAACTTTGATACTTTAGAGTGAAATCATACACTTCCGTACAAACAGCACGGGGCCGCGATCTACCGCAGGTAGATTACCTACCTGATAATGTACTGCTGCGGATCAGAATTTTTATTCCGGGCAACGGAAAAGATAAGATAACTTTTGAACACCATACACCGAATATTGAATAACGAATTGAACAAAGTTTGAGTCATATTGAGTTGATACATTTAAAGGGCGACGAAGTGCACGGGATCAGCTATTTGAATATAAAATTGTTATAACAATCATATTCACAATATAACCATTATTCCTGAACATAACCTGAACGCATATAGATCTGTAGATAGTTTTGTAAATTACTTTTTCTAGTCTTGTACGATATTATTAAAAGCGACTATAAGTAAGTCCACAAGAAATCGTGAATATATCAAAACAATTTTGCATTCCACGACTACCTACATACAAATAAGGCAATATAATAATACCTAATGGTGACTTTGATAATTTTGATTAAGATTCACTATACTTCCTCAAAATTAATATTTTTCGAATGTACACGATAAACATCATTAATATTTAGAATTTACAAAAGATACGCCGGTCACTAAGCCCCGGCTTGTCAAATCTCATGGGGGGAACTGCAGCCCCGTGGAGCCTTCATCTACCGTGGTGTCTATATTTGTCCATCATTTATAACAATATTATAGACGTTTTTATGAATACGATTGTTATAATATTATTACGTTTATACGTATTATAGAAATGAATCACAAAAATCATTATTATTGTGTGAAACAATAATAATATTTGCGGTATCTGTCTATATATATATTATTATATTAATATGGTATGATAATAATATTATGCCGCGTGTTCACGTCGGCTATTGTCGGAACAAATATCATATTATAACATGATGTATTATTATACCTATACGATATTCACGAAAGGTGGTCGGAAAATCATGAAGTGACCTGAAAAATGAAATTACAATGAAGTGTCGACGGACTGTCGTGAACCGCACATTAGGCCCCAGCTGCAGTACAGGCACATTATAATAGCTTGGCACGGAGAAGGGCGTTCGGTAAGTTAATGCGCCGCACCAATAGTGGTCGGGGCGAGATCGTCGCTGGATGCGTGTGTACTGCAGACACATAACGTGAAATATGGGACGCGATAATAACACACCTGTGTGCGAGAGAACATATCTGACGACAGCGACAATAATTAAACTAAAATATACGAATTAACCTTGAAGTTCCCTTAAAATTGAAAAAAAAAATTAAAAAAATACAACACGATCGTGTTTACAAAATACAGTGAAAATCGTTACACCGGTCTATAATTTTCAAACGCCTCAGTATAACGCGCTGTTTTTGTACCAACTCGACGCCGAAATAATGATATTATTAGATATTAGAAACAATATTATTATAATAATATAATAACACATGGGTGTATATTTTTACACAGCGTTCTATACATATACGACGCGTGTGGGTCAGTGGCGGAT